GTCCGTTCGGACGATGCCGATCCGGATAGATCTGTTTTACATCTGTCACTTCGTCGAGATAAATATCGTGAATGACCAGAGGCACATCATCTTTCGTCAACGCGACATCTTGTTCAATGTAATCAACGTCATATCCAAATGCTAGAAATAATACGACAATGTCAACAAAAGAAAGAGATGATAAACTGTATACATGATTACCCATAGCTTTCGATGGCAGAGTATGTTCTGGTAAATATCCACTGGCACCTCGATGTGCAATTATCAATGGCTTCTTCTCCGCTTTCTTATCAACAACTTTTCCATGACATGTCAAGCAAATGATGAAGAAGTGTCTAGAACCAAACGAAAGAACTTGTGGTAGAAAGAAAGGTGTGGTTTTCATCACAAAAAGGTTCTTCTACTTACACGAATCCCAGTGACTTCATATCTCTTTTTCTTGCTTTATTAACAAACAAGCAGATGTAATATAAAGTGTGTGACAGTTGCAACTATCTGTTCTGTTCGCTTGAGTCGTGGTTCGAATGACAAAATTCTCTTAATCTGATATATATCACACATAAAAAGATAAACAAATCAACTGTTTTCTAGATGACGAGTGGACAAAGAACAATGTGCTCTCTGAAAATAGTGTGGTTAAACTAAAATATTGTGGTTCATAGCTGGTGTTGAAAGACATCTGTCACCACTCGCCAACATGTTTCTCGAAAACTGCGCCCTTCTAAAAGCATCAAAGTAGAGATCTGCGGTAGCACCGAAGCCGAGATCTGCGGTAGCATCGAAGCCGAGATCTGCGGCAGCATCTCGCTGAATCTCGCTCACTCGAGCCCTTATCAGTCCCTACTTAAATGAATGATTAACGTTGTTCTTCTTTTTATTTTTTCTTTGCTTTTGTTCGTCAGTTGTTTTCTCTTCCAATAAATCATTAAGATAAGAAATGGCTTCTTAGCACTTGAAGATATTTATCTCATGGGATTTGGTTGAAGGCTATTTTTGTGGCAATGTTGAGATCATTTGATCTATATTGAAAAGCTGTTTGTACTCCAGTTAACTGCAAATATAAAAATAAATCTGGTAAAACAACAGTTTTTATAAGTTGAAATAAACATGCATTAGATTTATCCAGTATTTGTATATCACAATTTACTTTCACTATACGTATTTTATTCTTGGATTGTTTATCCATGTGTATTTAAGTGAGATTCCAGGTGAACTTACACGCTCTAAACTTGCCACGGGCAAGCTAAATTTTCCACGGGCAGGACACGTTACGTAGCCGTGGGTGTGGCCACGCGTGTGACAAAGTCGCGTCATGTGGTCTGTAAAAATTCTTGCGAGCTCGTCATGCCATGTGGCTTGCTTTTCTGACTGCTTTAGAGTGTCCAGTTTATCTGATCAGGCCACTGGTCAGTAAACTGTAAGTAAAAAAGTCCTTGTCCCCTTTTCTTGTGGCCAGATCTGCTTTTTTTCCTGACCAATGGAAAAAATCAAGAACAGGACCTACTTTTTGGATAGTCATCACGCATTTAACTAATACCCCGGCGTTAAAAGTGACTATAGTATTTTAGGTTTGATTACATCATGTTTTACTCGGACTTTTCTTCGAGAACATGATATAAACAATTTTTGAAGTTTTTATCAGTCCCATGATTCCTTTAGGACTTCACAATCTTTATCTGCAAATGAAAAACGGCATATTTTTACGGAACTCATACATCAAAGACAAAGGATTCAGTGCGAGTACACAGCAAGTTTGCCTCTCCAATGCCTTATATAAACCCTCCTTGCGTTTTCTTGCCATAATGTGGAACTATTTTCAATCTGTTTTAAGTTAATAATAAGCTCTGAGACTTCTGAGCTCTGAGAATTAAACAAAACGGGTCAAATTTCAAAGCTGTTCTTGTCGAAAATATATGCAATTAATCTGCTTTAAACTGTATAGGAAAAAATCACAATGCTAAACACGCGCGTCACATGGCGTCTTACTTGGCGTGGCCACAACCGTGTGCCCACGCTGTAAGTGATTCAATTCATATACTTGCAGTGGCCACGCCATGGATAAACGTAGGGCCACATCACGTCGAACATAGCCACGCCGTGTCAAGTATGGCCACGCCAATGATAAAGCGTGTGAGTGGACCTGGGACAGAATCGAGACAAATCTGTACATAAGGGTGGTCTATATAAGTTATATGGGGCAATATATTCCCATTTAGTAGCCCAATGAAATCCAGAAACTTGAAGTAGCAGATTTTTGTCCGCCTTGCTTCTTCCACTTTTTGAAGTGATGTATCATGTCACCGAGAACATCGAATAATGTTATAGTTTATCTTCACACACGACCAACGAACAACTTCGTCTTGGATATCATATCGTTTAATCACTTTCACTTTAACTGACGAGGGAACCTCCCGAGATGCTCCCTTCCGATTCCAATGACTTGTACATGGATCGATAGGCCTCAATGAGGTAGTAAATACCTTAAAAGGATTCGGATCCATGACTCTTGAAGACTTGGTTTTCTGGGAAACCAGTTTTTCATAAACTCTAAAAAATAACCAAAACCTTTTCTCGACGAGACATAATTGTAGCGCGCGCATTTCTGATTAAAATGAGACACCTCCCAGCTCTACACGGCCTTTCTTTGCGAAGTTATACAATTTTCGGATACCACGTGGCCAATTTTTTGGTCATTTTGGACCCCTACCCCCTCCCTCGTGGGTATTTTGCCGCCATCTTGAGTGGCGGCAAAATTTTTCCGCCACGGAAAAAAAAAGAGCGTGGGTATTTGGGACCCTCCCCCGTCCCCCTAACTATTGTATAACTTCGCAAAGAAAGGCCGTGTAGAGCTGGGAGATGTCTCATTTTAATCAGAAATGTGCGCGCTACAATTATGTCTCGTCGAGAAAGGTTTTGGTTATTTTTTAGAGTTTATGAAAAACTGGTTTCCCAGAAAACCAAGTCTTCAAGAGTCATGGATCCGAATCCTTTTAAGGTATTTACTACCTCATTGAGGCCTATCGATCCATGTACAAGTCATTGGAATCGGAAGGGAGCATCTCGGGAGGTTCCCTCGTGAGGTAGAATCAGATAAGGTCGGGTTAGAGCTTATACCAGCTTATACCACCCGATCAGTAGAACCAATAACTTTTTCAAGACCTGAACGAAAAAAAATCGCAATTCCACTGTTACTTATTATCTTGTATTTCAGTAGTCTAGTCTCAAAAATAACTCCAAGATGAGGAGATCCAAACAATTCTTTTTTACACTGACTGAGCCACACATTTTTATTTAGTGGCTCAATATAACTAAAAATTTTCCAGACCTGATTCCGGTTAAGGTGCACCGATCATGTACGCAGTTTAATGTTTGATAATGCCCGTGAGACTCAAGAAGGATAGATGAGATAAATGAATATTGAACGTTATCCTTCTACAGTCTTTTTTGTTTTTACTCTAACACATATAAAATGTAGAAAATGAAGAACATTCGGTTAACCTAGAAAAGTCTACAAATTTATTTATCATTCTTCCGATGTGTGAATCGTTTTTTCAGTTGCTTTGAGTTTAGTATGACAGAAAAGCCAGAGAACATTATAAGGAAACTTCATAGCGCTGTACATAGTTTCCTTTTTCTAACCATAGAGGCATTGCCTTCGTGACATTTTTTGTAATGTCGTTATGTTGTCCATGTGAATAAGGTATTCGGATTTCTACAGACGCAATTAATGTAGACGTGAAAGTTCGAAGCTCCTGTGTTTGGGTTGGCATTATTGTAGCACGTAACTTTTAACGTCTAGGTAACTGGACTGAATACGATTGTTACATTTCGTTATTTCTCTATGTTTATGATGGCAAAATTTTATAGGTTTTTTGCTTTGCAGAATGATGATGTTTTATAAAACCATGTTCTGTTCAATAGAAAAATAGCTAATAATTGTTGACAAACTGCACGACTTTTAAACTTTTGTGTTTATGCCATTTGGCCCATTTGAAACAGTTAGAACGTTCTACTAGTTTCTGTGCATCGATTAACCGACGTTTGAGCGAGTACGACAGTTGAGCGATCTTGTATACAACCATGCTCGCACATTCAACAGTTTGAGCTTTTTAAACTCATTCGCTCCCTTCAACTGTAGGTCAAATGATTCAGAATGACTTTGTATACCAGATATATTTTTGCAATTATAATATTTTGTTAAACTAAGTTTCATCTCATAGTATTTCAGCTTTTTGAATTGTTCTCTTCTCATTCACCCTCACTGTTTCACTTCTCCAATGAAAGAAATATGGAAATAAGCTAATATTTGCATGAATAGTAGAATAATTTTCTTGTTATAATTAATTTCTCACAAACGATAGAACTCAAGTTCTTCCCTTAAACATGATCTTAATAGACTCACTCAAAATTGAACGTAATTTTGTCGATTATGCATGGTAATTGTGGTGAATATTTGATCTTTAATTTCAGTCCATGCATATGCATAACTTTGTTTTTTGAATATTTATAACAGAATAAAGCCACAAAAAAAATGCAAGATCTTCAACGATCAGTTTATTTGAAATAAAACTCATTCTTGGTCGTTCACGGTTACCATATAAGTTCATTTTATTGACAAACATAAATCAAGCTATATCTGACCCACGAACGAAAACAAATCTAGCCAGAAACAATAGGTTACCTTTGGGTAAAAATATTTTTCTTGCGTAAGTAGAGATGTTCATGATTAGTTCTTCTCATTATTGCGTAATAGTTATTTTATATCCCCGTACAAATCTTGTTTGAAAGTGAAGTACGCTGTTGCTTTATCTACATGATATATATTCAGTCTGTAAGAGATAAAATCGCATTGAACGGAGCTTTTTACTACAGTTCAGACAGATTGTAAGACAGTTATCTTCTTTTTCTTGAAATCAAAGCAATAACATTTTCAAAAAAACTTGAAAAGTAAAGTCCTACATCTTCGGAGCAGATGATAGTTACTCTCAGGTACCGTGTAGATGATAGCTGTAACAGTCTCTATTTCTTTTCAGTAACGCATCATGCCGCAAAGAACGTCGAATAAAGTTAAGGTTTATCTTCGCACACGGCCAACGAACAATTTCGCCTCGGATATCATATCATTTGGTCGTGACAACCGAGTAAATAATGAGATCTCGTAATCAATGTCATCCACCTAACTTTTCTATTTCAAAACCATTAGACTGTTACAATTCATCGAGCTCCATCGGCAAATACGGTTGTTGATAATAACGTAACCGACTGGAGTTTCCATCTGGATGGACTGTTTCATAATGTTAATCAAGAGGAGATATTTAATGCTGTAGCAAAAGATGTTATTGATCGAAGTTTAGATGGCTATAATGGTAAGTGAATGAGAACTCGACTTTCAAAGCGTTATCAACAAACTTTTTTGCTTAACAGGCACAATTATGTGTTATGGACAAACAGGAGCTGGTAAAACACACACAATGACTGGTTTTAGTGAAAGTTATCCAAATCGCGGCATAATACCTAGAGCACTTCAACATATCTATCAAGAAATTAATTCAAGACAAGATTACTCATATTCCATACGGTAAGGATAATCCGTGCGTGTACGAGAAATAATTAGATTTGCGTTTTGGTCTTAAGAATTGCATATTTGGAAATTTACAATGATCAAATGTGTGATTTGTTACGGACGGTGGATACACCAAATGATTTAATTCAACAGCAATTAAGTATCGGAGAAGATAGAGGACTTGTTTACGTCAAAGGCTTATCTTATCGAATTGCTAATAGCGAAGAAGAAGCATTAAACCTCTTGTTCGAAGTATGTCAACTGATTAATAAGTGTCTTTTTCATTTAAAAAAAAATCCTTTTTTCTGGTAAGGGTGAAACAAGTCGTTCCATTGGTCAACATATTCTCAATAAACAATCATCCCGCTCTCATTGTATATTCACATTATTAATCGAATGTCGTTCAATATTAGCTTCAGACGAAAAATATACTGTTTCAAAATTGAATTTAGTTGATCTAGCAGGGTCAGAACGTCTAGCAAAAACGAACGTAAATACAATTAGATAAAAGTTTTGATTAATGCTATTGTTGTTTACGAACAGGGCCGCAAATAACGGGAGGCTGTGAGAGGGTGCGCTCCCCCCTCCCCCCCGAATAACCGAAAAAGCTGTTATCATTTTATCCATTATTCCTCGCACACACAAAATTTTTTTTATCAATTTCACACTACCTCAAAAGAGAAATTTTGTTTTACACCCCTCTAATGTTCTGCTCCTATTTGTGGTCCTGTTTACGAAGTTAATAATTTAGTTGAAAGTTCAAAGACCTTTCAACTAGATAAAATTTTCTTTGCCAAAACCTGTTTTCTATTGTATTTAGTCACAAGGTATCGCTCAACGAGAAGCAACATTTATCAATAAATCATTATCGTTTCTTGAGCAAGCTGTGCTGAATTTATCTGATAAGAAAACAAATACTGTACATTTTCGTAGCAGTAAACTAACACACGCACTAAAAGATAGTATTGGTGGACGATGCAATACGGTTATGATAGCGAATGTGTGGCCAGAAACGCAGCATTTAGAAGAAACTGTAAGGCGATCTAAAGATCTCAATAAGCGAAGATTGTAAAGCTATCTATTAACAGGTTTCAACACTTCGATTTGCCAGTCGTATGATGTGTGTGCCAGCTGAGCCAGCGGTCAATGAAGTCGTTGATCCAATTGTAAGGAAAAGTATAATAATTATAATAACGAATAATCTTGTCAATTACTTTAGAAAGCAGTTGAAAATTATAAAAAAGAGAACAAATATCTTCGTGAAGAATTAGCGTTGCATGACACATTACATGGAAATAGAAGTGGAATATCATACGAACCATTGTCTGAACAACAATTATATGAAATTGAAAATCAATGTCGACGATTTATCGACGGATCATTAGATGAACTTGAAATAAAAAATGTGCGACAAGTCCAAGGTAGAGAATCGCAAAAGAGATTGAATTTGTCATAATAAAAAATTCATTGTATTATACCGATTTAGCTGTATTTAACACTTTAAAAAATATTTGCAAGTAAGAAATGTTAACTTGTTTTAGTGTTATGTACTTAATTTTCTTTTCTTCTAGATCAACAGATGGAGAAGTCGAGAAGAAATATCGCGAGCGTTATGTACTGATGGATAAGAACGAATATGACCAAACTGATGGACAGAAGGCAAGATATACTGTCTCACTACTAGTGTTTTATCAATCAAAAGTCTTGAAAGGAATTGCTCACATCTCATAAATGTGTATTGTTCTTTGCATTTCACTCATGTTTCATGCAAGAAGAACGTTCTTCCGTAAGTAGGGATTATTAAGCTATTGTTGCTTGCATCTTTTAATCACAATTGACAGATGACATGAAATGGGATGGAGTTTGTTCTTCTTACTCGCTGCCTTAAAAACTGTCTGCTGCATTGAGCAATTACGTGCGTAGAGCTTAAAAGCTATATTATATGGCTACTCTTTCTCTCTTAGAGTACTTTACTCATCTTTTAAGTCTGAAAATACATTTCTTGGTCCCAAAATGAAGTCTCTCTTAATTATCTGCAAAAATAGAGAGTTCCATAGATACGTGGTAGTGAATTTTTCAGTAAATAAGAACAACACTCTAATCGATGATAGAGTAGCCAAATAAACAGATGGACTTATAAAGTAGCTTTTATATTCGCTTAAATGCTTAATTCTTATATGTGTATTTTGCTTTGTGCTGTAATCAAGTTCAGGTTTGTTTGTGTTTTTTCTCAGGTTGCAGGGACAAATCAAAATGATAATAGTACAGGCGAGTTGGATGGACAAGGTTTTGGTTCTGGAAATGCGCCGAAAGATGCACGTACCAGTAAAGACCAATTGCTAAAGATGACAAAAAATAAACGTGGAGTAAAAGCGTCAGTACAGAGGTACGTATCGAAATTAGGCAGGTATCAATTGTAATCCTTGATAATCTATAAAAATGTCTCATAGAAGAATTAGAAGAATTTTATGAGCTGAGAATCAGAAGGCTGAAGCTAGCTAAAACCATACTTTCTATCGTTTCCAGTGGTTTCTGACCCACTTGTGAACCATCCAGAAAAAAAATGTACACTCTAACTTGATAGTTCTAGTATGTTGTGAATATTAAGAACTAAATCTAATATTGAGTGATACTCATTTCTATCAACGTAGATACGGCTGTCTGCTATATATAAAAACTTCAGATTCAATTCGTCTGCATGATGCACTTGCAGACAATTGTATAAATGTAGTCTAATGAAGATGTCTTTGACGTTGAAACATCACCAATTTTAAATAAAATAAAATAGTTTAGAACGAGTAATTAAATTTTTGATTTTAAATTAAATTTCCTTTCTAATAAGAAATCGTATGACCGCTGATCTTTCCAATATGTAATTGACAAAGTCCATATTGACGATAAAACGTTAGAACTTGATAAAAGCATTCTGAATTCTACTTTTATGCGAGATCACAATTCATGTATAGTTTTAATATTGTCAGTTTTTGATATTAATATAAACTTGTTAGTAACTATGACACACCAAAATCGATATATTCCATATTCATGCTATTAAAACAAAACTTAAGCAAAATATTTAATTAAAAATTATAAGTCAAGAACAGGGAAGTAGTTTCATCCTAAACATACAACTATTTTTCAGACAACAAAATAAAGATAGCAATGTTTTTAATCTGTTTAATGTGTTATTGTTGTAAAGTCAACGAGGTATAAGTATTCGGTCGAGTTTTTCAATCAAACGTGTTCAAATGTAAGAAACCTATCGTCTCTCTACTGAAGCAATTAAATGGACTATGTAAGAGAAAATCAAGATGACGATACTACTTAATGACGAGTGATTTGTATTGCACTATCGAGAATTTCAATGTGTCATACTGGTAATATCGAATGGATTGCATAACTTCAATCATTGTACTCATTATTCGTACAAAAGTGATTTTTTTTCGATAGATTAAGTTTTAAAATATTGTAGTAGAATTTATTTTACTAAAAAAGGAAAAAAGAGTAGATCAATTATCTTAAACCATTCAGACGTTGAATTGATATTAGCACGAATGTTGTTAACTCATTGTTTACTGTTTTATGCATAAAAAATCTATTCTCATAAAGTATCGTATTTTCGACATTATCAAATAACGACTGTTTTCTTCCAAAAAAAATATATTTCTTCACCTTATTATGAGACCTATCTATCCGGATGATAATCTTTGCTCTTATATTAAGACAAATCGGCCTAATTATTTCGCGATTGATTTATGCCGTCTTATTTTAAGCTGGACAAACGTATCCGTTGTACCTTAATGTGAACTACTTTTACATCTTATTTTCATTATTTGAAGGGTAGCCTTGTTGGAGGACCGTGATAGCATCTCAATTACTGACTATATCAATAGGATTTAGTAAGAAATCGAAATAAATTGAAAAGTTTTTTGAAGAGATCATTGTTCGTTGTGTGGCAACTGCAACAAAGAGATGAATGACTTTTCTGCCAATTATTGAAGTAAGACGGAAGAATGGCTTGCAGGAACAAACGTCTTAAAATAGGATAGATGAAAAGAAATAAGACGGATAAAACAAACTAGATTTTTCCAATGTGATCAGCTAATGAACAAACCATACAATGACATATTGAACTCAATCGTATTGTCGTGGATGTCGTTATCGAAGATGAGTTTTGTTTGCTTCATAATATCCAAAAAGGTGATAAACGATCGACATAACGTTTATAATCGTCTGATGGATTCGGGAAATTAATTCTAAAAAACATAAAATTGTTAAATCAAGTTGAGATTGTCTGGCTGAATATGAACGAAAATGTCGTCGATATCTTCTACTACAAGATTCTTGCTTTCTGCACTTAATAAATAATCTATAAAAAAAAAAACTGTTGTTGAAAATAATGTTGTTTCAACATTGAAGGATCATGCACTTTTTATGATGCCAACTGGTGACTTTGGTGAGGAAAAAAATCGTAACTAATTTTATTAAGATAATATTTGCTCAAATCATCTTCTGTAACAAATAATTGAACTGTATTTTCAATAGTTAACTAATTTTTTTCTGATCTTAAATGAATGGATGATACATGGAAAAGTTTCAAATAGTAGCTAAAATATAATTCATTGCCAAGATCAACGTATTAAATGAACGTCCTCATACATAATGTCTCGATGTATGATCTAATTCGTATTCATCAATGTATGAATGGAAATTAAGTATAAGACAAACAAACAAATACAGATATTCGCTAAAACTACTGAGGAGTTTGAAAAAGACTATTAATTTTATTGTTTTTATTCAAGTGTTAACGTTAAACCTACGTTAAAACGCAACACAACTGAAGAAGAACAAATGTCACGGTTAAAAGATTCTCGAGAGTCAACTGATGTATATTACGGTCCACCAGAAACAGGTGCCAAAGAGCAAACGCAACCAAGGTAGCATAAGAATTTATCAATATTGTTATGTAAGAATTAAATAGTCTATTTCTAGTACTCCACCAACACGAAATGTAGCATTCGAAGAATTCAGACAGACTCGTGGAAGTAATTTAAATGCAATTTATCAAGAAAATAAAGGTATTATGATTATTCTTATCGTATAATGGTGATGAATGTGCTAATTTATTTATAATTTTAGATATAATGTTAGCTAAAAAGAAACAGTTTGCTGAATTAGCCCGTCGAATAAATCAGACAAAAGGCGACATTGATAAAACACGAATGGATGCTGAACGAAAAAAGAATGAACGTCTTAATTTAGGCGAATTTACAAATGAAAATGGTGAAACAATAATTGATGAAGAAGAATATGAACTAATATCAAAATTACAAGAATTAAAAGCAAATTATCGCGTTGATTTTGATAATTGGAAAACGTTGAAATCAGAAATTGCCTACTGTCAAAATTTAGTGAACCAATGTCAACAACGACTTATTCAAGGTAAGACAAGAGACTAACATACATACGTATGGCATTTCTAAATCCGTTTTCAAACAGAATTTGATTCTTGGTTCAACGATTCTTATTTGTCAACGAATAAAGATACGAGATCGGCAAATGGACTTGGAAAGACAAATCAATTTCAAGTTTACGTAAGAGAAGAAATAAAAAAGAAAAGTCAGTTTAATATTTGAAATTTTGATTGACATTTATTTTCTAGGAAGATGCTGCTGAACGATTTGAACGTATGCAAAAAGAACTGCTGATGAGTGATTTGGATAGTATGCCATATAGAACAGCACAAATGAATACGAATAAACGAGTTTGTGTTTTGCAAGTTTTCACCAGTAAAACCAAAACACAACCAAATATTTTATCTTTTTAGCAAATGTTCAATTCGACGACTTCACAAACACTGTATAAAAATGCGCCGAATGCTCACAATACCTATACATCCTCCTCTTCAAATAAGCCTGGTGGTGTCGGAGTGACAGCTCAAATGGTTCAATAATTATCCATTGCTTATGGATACATCTGACTTGATTATCTGTATACTTTATATTGAATTGTGCTATGAGATGACTCATCAAATAGATCATATCTCGAATATTTTTTTTGCAATCTCTTGTAAACAACTTTTTTTAAATAATTCTTCCATAATTGTCAGGATAATTGTAATGTTAACTCTAAAGATAACGATGATGATGATATGTAACATCTACCGATTACGGCAGATTACATCATAAAACGCGACGGAAATGATTATACATGTACTTTAACAACTGCAAACATTTTCTAGTGTTTTTCTTGGTTACCCAAGTGCGCTTGGAGCGTTTAAAAATAAAAACGCGTTCCAGTGCGTTTGACACAAAAAAACGTCTGGAAACGCATGCAATGCAAGATTTATGGTATGAAGATGGTATAAACGAAACGCAGCCAGACGCATTTATGTAAAAGATGTTGACAGACCGCGTTTGTGGTTACCGAAAATGTGTACGAATGCGTTTTTCAGCGTTTAGATGGATCATATCTGACTGCAGCGCTAGCATTTGGTACAACAGTGCAATAATGAAATTTTACTTTTCTTGTCGATACTACTATTTTCAGGCTAATTTTTGATTAACTATTTTCTCACGCAACCGAAACTTCGTGATAAAATTTTTTGTGCCATTGGATAGAACATGTCTTGAACTATATTGCTAACTATTTGAATAGTCGAAAAGTCGATTTCCATTTTTTAACCTATTGTCCACTGTGTGTTCAGATGTAAAAAAAAGTTCACTTTCGATTTTTGCCAAATCTTCGCCTGGATGCATACTGTGTTTATGCAAAAATAATACATTAACAGCAACTGTATGCTTCGCTTATTACCCACCAAAACTAACAATGTGTTTCTGTAATGCAAAAAACGGTTGCAAAACAAAATTTCTTTAGTCAAGTTTAAAATATCAGAATCATTTTGAAAAAAGTTGTACTGTTTTTGTTAATCATCGACTATACAAGAACACTCCGTTGAAGAATGTACATATAAGTAGGTATGCGCCGAGCTTCGAGTTACCCGAAAACTCGAACCGAGCTGCCCGAAGTTCGAGCTACCCGAAAATTGAAGTCTCTTTTTCTTCTGATGGGTGTTATTCTCAGGCCTCTACATTAAAAGAGGATCCCATACTTTTATACTATTTTGCATGTTAACTTCATTTTACACTTTATGTAAGTAATCTGAACTCTTAAGTCGCTTTTAGTATTTTGCCATAAGAAAAATTTCCTGTTGCACTTAGAGTAAGACATTTTCGCTTATTTTCGATTTCGAACAAATCGATATTCGATCGAAATTAAAAATCTCTTACTCTAAGTGCAATAGGAAATTTTTCTTATGGCAAAATACTAAAAGCGACTTAAGAGTTCAGATTACTTAAGTACGATTACTTACTAGATTACTTACGCTCCAAATTCGAACGTCGAGTACTATTTTATTTTCACTGCAAATATGCATCATTCGATAGGGAATTTTATGCTGATTAAGAATATGTTACTTTGAATATTTTTAGTGCGCGAAAAATTCAAAATTTTTTGAAAAAAAACTTTTTTTAAAAATGATGTAACTCCGTTCCATATGGATTTGAAGCTTCATAAAGGTGTTTTTCTTGATCAGCGCCTAAAACTGCATCTAGAAAAGCATATTTGAAGGTTCCAAATGAAACAGCCACTCCTGGGCACGTCGCCTTTCATCTACACATTTTGTTTGATGGTACTCATCTTGCAAGCCACGTGCAACCTTTTGGTTTATGGGTAGAAACAAGTTTTATAAGCCATTCGCTTCGCTGTTCAATTTAGAACAAAAATATGAAGCGCTTTTTTCGAAATTTTTTTCGTTCCTGTCGAAAACCGATTGGAATGGTATATGTTTCGAAAATTTTCGTTGATTTTCATTTTGGGGTGAAAATCTCAGTGATTTATCGACGTGAAAATTCGGAAAAAACAAAGGTAGTCGAATAGGGTAAAAAGTGTTTCATTCGGCTCGGCTTTCATCGCTAACTCCGAATACGATATTTTTATTGCATAAGAAATGAGTTTTGATGGAGAAAATAGAGAATTACGGGTAGAATTCCGATTTTTTCACTTCCTAATTCAGAAAAACTGTACTTTTTCAGAACGAAAAAAAGTTTCGAAAAAGCGCTTCATACTTTTGTTTTAAATTGAACAGCGAAGCGAATGGCTTATAAAACTTGTTTCTACCTTAACCAAAAGGCTGCACGTGGCTTGCAAGATGAGTACCATCAAACAAAATGTGTAGATGAAAGGCGACGTGCCCAGGAGTTGCTGTTTCATCTGGAAAAAAAGATTTTTTTCCAAAAGTGGATTTTCCAAAAGAGAGTCCCTCTCAGCATGGGGTCCCTCAGCATGGGAGTCCCTCTCTCTATTCTTAATCAACATGAAATTCCCTATCGAATGATGCATATTTTAAGTGGAAATAAAATAGTACTCGACGTTCGAATTTGGAGTGCCTTATTTCAAAACGTCTGAATTGTTAACAGAATCGATACTCAAATGGAATGTATGATTCATAGATATACTTTTGTTCTCTAACATATTATAAAGTCATATTATAAAAGTTTCAAGTTATTAACATCATTGAGTGAATTAATAGTGTAACACGAGACTGTCAATTATTTCAGACTAAACCGGCGCCCTAACTGAAAAAATATGCGGTCAATCAGCAGTGTTCCAGGGATTATTTGTGCACTTACCAATATAAATGTATTTCATCTTGAAATTATGATATCGTTCGTCCAGTAAATACACTTCAATAATCGAATAATCAGTTTAAAATATGTAATAACAGAAAAATATCCGGTTTTAATAAAATAGCAATTACTGTCGAAGAAACAGTTCAAATGATGTTAGCGAGGCAAATTTTTCAAGTTTAGATTTCCTTTAAGGCAAAGTCATTTCATGATGGTTTCGAGAGAACTACATACAGGACAAGGCAACGAAAATCTATTTAAAAAAACTTCGTACACATATAAACTAGCCTGACATCGCTATAATCGACAAAAATATTTTCATTAGTCGAAAGTCTTTCAACTCTTTGAATTTAGTGATATAGAGATGTACGAAGAATTCTGTTTTCTAGAACTAAATTTATTTTACAATATGAACCCAAGTCGATCGAATCACACAACAGAAATTAGTTCAGACCGTATAAATACATTACAAGATATTTGAACAATAAAGTTTATCACTTCCTTAATCTATTGAAGAATACGTGTAGTATAAAAAATGCTCTCAACGTTCAACGCAAGGAGTGTGTTTTAATTCACTTTCACTCGGTCTGTTGTCGATAGTTGGAAGACATAGCAATTTAACTTGATCTATTCCGTAGCCAATATGATGAGTAGCAACTAAGATATCGGAAGTGATGCATATCTGCTAAACTATGTAGTCTGTCTAAATATTTCATATTTAAAGCAAAGTGTGTGACGAAGGCTATACCACTTACATTACTGTACATTATTATCTCAACTCACCTAATATTGTCAATTATTTCCTATGAGAATTATTTAATTTATAATGATTTATAACTGGAAATTTTTAGTAAAGCTCGTAGCAGATAATGTAAATAAGACGAGAATTCTTACCGTCAAAACTTGTTGGTTAACTTCTTCCTTTTTAGGTTAACTATTTTGTTCTCCTATTTTATACCAACAAATAAATCATCATACTTTTTAAGAAAACATTTGTGTACAAATAGATAAGAACATCGAAATGAGAAGAAGCAAACATACAACACAGTTTTATAGAAAAAAAACGAAGAGGCCGCCAATATAATACACATTGTTTTTTTTAAAAATATAAAAAAAGAACGACGAGAAATTAGCGACAACAAATAAAAACATGCGCACGCTTTTTCGTAAGCAAAAACAAAACGTGCGAAATATAAAATAGCACAAGCACACATTTGATTTATAATATTCAGTGTTTTTTTCAAAAGTAAATCATCAACGCACACGCATAGCAAAGCAAACAAACGTTTGATCATTATATAGCAATTAAATTCAGCACAAATGAGAGAAATAAGAATAAAAAAACGACGGATTTGCATTTTTATTATTTCGTTCATTTTTAAAAGGTTTAAAATAAGCGAAAGTATATTTAGACTAACTATAAACAGATTAAACAGCGAAAAGAAGGACCATTATCAATCAAAAACAGACATAGAGTGGTTAAATTTTTTTTTATCTATGCTTCACTACTATGTTTCAATGTTCGTGAATCATCTTCATCTTCATTATCAGACTTTTTACTGTTGTGTACGTTATCATATATTTCATCATCATCTTCTAAATCTAAATGGGCGGTTTGTGCTTCCATTGATGTCGATAAGGTATTATTTGAATTAGAACGGATTATTTGTTGTTGTTGTTGTTTTTGAGCGACTGCTGATGGATATTCGATAATTTCACTAGAAAACATCAACATGATATGTTATTAGAAAGTCTTTAGATTGGAAAAAAACCTTACTCAGTTTCACTGTCATTATCGTCACTCTCTATATCATCATTCTCCGTATTGTTTTCATTCTCTAATTCATCGTCTAAACCCCATTTTTCTTCAACAACAGTGGCCACATGTAATTGTCTTGCATTACTGTTCAATGAAACTGATGGATGTGATGGAGTTTTCATTGCTTCATCTAAATCGGTAATGGAAGATGCCTGTTGCGGCGATGATAGTACTGTACTAGTAAGAGCAACTAATCCTGCTGAATGTGGTTGACTATTTGGAAAAGATAATGGTCTGCTATTGACTATTGTATTCGAAAAAGATTTTGTATTTGATTGTTCTTGTTGATGTTGTTGTTGAGACGCTGTAGATAGATGTGATTCCGAACCGTAGCCAAGTGACTCAGATGAATGAACAGATGTCATTGATATAGATTCATTCAAATCGAATGTGGGATTTGAGCGTGAAATATCACTGACTATAAATAACAAGTTGAAATAATTTTGTATATTTTTAACTGTGTGAACGCAAAAGTCATTTTCAGCAATTAAACTACATACAGAAGATGCAATAAGAAAGAGAGAGAGAGTTGTTTACATGTCTGTTTCTCTAAGGCACTCTAGAGTCTTATAATTTATTCGATTAATCTTCAAAAAAGTTATGTTTACGTACTTGATGGTGTAACAGTGACAACACTACTAGAACTACTATTTCGTCTAAGATCCGGCTCATTTAAATCATCATTTGATTCACCCATTTCAACATTTTGTAAACGTAATTCTCGAAGTAATTTATTATTTCGGTTGGATGACTGTTGAACTGATCGAGCCGATTTCTAAATGATGAAAATCAAGAAATATTCGATATTATCTTCTCTTGTTTTCTTCTCCTCATACCATAGCTAATGCTAATTGTTCACCGAGTTGAGTAACTAATGTCCACAAAGACTGAGTTGATATAGATGATAATTTTTTTTCCGTAGCAGTTTTTGTTTGAGTATTATTGATCATTTGAATGAGTTGATTATCTATGCAGAGAAACACATATAACCAATTCAAAGTACAAGTATAAAATATAAAACGTACGATAGCTTGAAGCACATGCTAGTGCATCAATACAATCACCACCAGTGCCGATTTTCGAATAAATAGATGCAACCTAAAAATATTTCATCATAAATAATTTATTAGTATCAACTTCTAAATGCATATTTTTGCATACATAGCCTGGTGATGAGTCACTGATTTGTTCTTCACGAATGTTGAGTAAACGTGCTAATAACATCTCTTTTTCTTTCAAAAGACGTTTAATATCTTTATCTTTTTCCGTTATAACATCTAAGACGAGAAAAATGATGTGTACAGAAATAGATGCAAAATTAACTATCAATTTTCGTACTTATTAATGAACTGGGATTATCTTCGATTAACGTTAATTGTTCACTTTTAACTTGATTAGGTTCAACTAATTGTAGTGATTCTTCAACAATTACTGGTCTAAACACAGAAAACATGTTCTTTATTTCGTTTGTTATACTTTCTTTTTCTCTTACCTTGTTGTCAAAGATGTTGTTGCTGCTTGTAAACTTTTTTCATTGCCACTTAACAGTTTTTGTTTTTCAAATGGTTTTCGTGCCTTTTCTATCCGTTCTATCCATCTTCAAAATAAAAATTAAAAAAATTGATATAAATTCTAGAACATTCATTAAAAAGATTCAGTCCCGTTTCGTCGACACTTTATAGTGTCGGCGGCTCACAGACATCTTTTATCTCCCCGCCCCAATGTTGTCGACGAGGCAGGAAAAAAATTAATTAGTCGACAAAACGGGACGATACCATTAAAAAATGTTCACATACTTTTCTAAATCATCTTTTGAATTTGCTTCAACTTCAATTAACTGCTTTTTATCGGTATCAATGACATAGAATGATCGAGCTCCTAAAAGTAATATGTATTATGTTTGATCATTAATTAATCATATTTTATCATAAATTTACCTCCACATGCTTTTTTCTTGATTAATAAATGATCGAGACGGATGATTGGTGTTAAAAAAAAATTTTGTTGAAATCGACCACCTTGTTTTGGTCGAGTATGACGACCATTTGTTGCATCACGCTGATGTTCTTTTAATACATATCTATACGATTCTTCAATACCTCGTTGTTCGGATGTGATCGGAATTTTTTGAAAAAAAACAAATATATCATCGAATAGACAACATTCAAACTCTGTTTTCTGTAATTTATCATCGGGTAATAATTTTAATGTTCCGCTATGAATTAGACGATTATTTGTTACTTCCAAACAACTCTAAATAGTAGATAAAGAATAATTTTATTTAAAAAGATCTGTTTGAATATTATTATTTATTATTCACTTACATATAAATGTGCTGCATCAATTGATGGTACTTGCACATCTAAATTTTGTTTAATCTGTTTTAATAATAATTCTTGTTCTTTCTTTAGTCGTGCAGTATTCATATGACGAAGAATATTTCCAGCACATTCGGCACATTTAGTTAATTTTACATTTTCAATTGAATCTACATAATATAAAAGACAATATATTTTAAAAAAAATAATAAAATTCAACACATTTCTTACCATCACAAAATTTTAACATTGACTCAAACAACATTTTATATTTCGTAAAACGTGTCATTATCGATGGTAAATAATCTTTTAATGTCAATCGTCGACATAATGGATTTGATTCACAATTCTACAAATATGAAAACGAAAAGTGTTTGAATAAAAATTTAAAGTTAATTTTAATTATGTTTGATACCCTCATTAATGCTGCAAAATCTGGTGATTGTTCCTTCTTTTTAATCAATTTTAATGCTTGAGATTGATCTTCAATAAAATAGGCGCATGCCTTTGCAAATTGATCACCTTTCTCACCATCAAGCTAAAGAAAGAAGAAATGAATAAAATACCATCATACATATCTTGAAATATTGAATTTATTCAATATTTACTGTTACACACACGAATCGGAATTACAAAAGTAGGATTTAGAACTCGAATGTATTAAATACTCGACAGTACTTTCACACAAATACAAAAAAAATGAGTTCGTAGAAAAGTTATTGTCGTGAGGGTGAGCTTCCATTTGATCATAAATAAACTGCTATTAGGTTTTTAGTTTGTCATAATTTTCTATGCTCTCTCCAGCAAAACATCTGTAACCTGACTCGACTCGATGATTCAGTAGTATTCGGCTTCAGTTTCGTTGGACTAATCTCGTATTTTATATTTTATAATGTGAACTATTTTCTTTGGCTTTATAGCATGTTTAGGATTGATAATTAGCTGATTTGAAGTTTTCTGAAGCAGCGATTCTCTTCAAGGGAATTGTTAAATAAAAAAAAGAAACAGAGAGAATTTATACGTACAAATTTCAATACTAGATCACCAATTTCTCTAACAATATGATTTTCTGCTTGTTCACGATGTTGTCTTAATGCAATTTTAAATTGTGCTTTAAAAGGCAAAAAAAGTCAGAAAATTATAAAATAAAACATTAAATAATGATAACATACTGTGTAATTCAATTAATTGATCAAGATTTCGAAATATACAATCTAATTCTACTGGTGACATGCCTGGAAAACGTTCCATTGGCTCTTTAAAACATTTTCTCATAATTTTTAAACTTTTTAAATGTGTTCGTTCAGTATGAATTAATTCATTTATTGTTATTTGTAATTTAATTTCTTTTGCTTTTAAATGTTTGAATGCACTATCTGGTATAATATCATCTTTTAAATTTGGTAATGTATTTACATCAGCATCTAAATCTGAATCACCATCTGTTCCACTACCAGCAGCCAAAATTGATTCTTGACTTATCGTATTTACAATTAAATCTGACGTAGTAGTTCTAAATGAAAATGTCAATATTATTCTTATATTAATTATAATACAAATTGATAGTATATCATCGATAAATAGTCTTTCTAATATTTAAAATAAATGTATCAAATTGATTATACACGTATAAAGAAAATAATTAAATATAATATTGTCGATATTGTTGATATATTAGTAAATCATCAGTAGATGTCATAGTTTTATTTACACATTCATTTGTGGATGATATAGACAAGTTTAAATGAAATAAGTGAACATAGTGATAATGATCAATTGGCCACCTATTTTCTATGCATGATATAATAATGAATGTATATTATATCTCAATAAAACTTTCAAATGGATAGTTGAAAAATGCAAAGAGAAAATAGAGAAACAATCATATTACAACAGGCGATATTTAATATCGTGCTTTAGCATGCATTAAAATAGTCGAATCTAGCTAATAAAATATCTATTTCACTATAAAAGAGCAGATTTTGCTTTTAAAATTGTCAATTTGGAAAATAATTTCACCACAAACTATTGAGAATAAAAGAATGAGCAATTAATCTATGGGATTATCAAACCGTGGAACATTATTTATTAGCGATTTATGCATCTATTCTATCTGAGTTAAGTAGAAGAGCGAGACGAAATTGAGCAGAAATCTCTTTTCTGTTTTCTAATTATGATTTTGGCTATTCTTAGTACAAATGATAAATAATACAAAAAAGAAGCCATAACTCTAAACATACAGATTCATTTGAAATTGGTGGTGAAATGAAAAAGAGACAGTTTGGATGTTATGATAAGCAGAATTCTATCAGCAGTCTAAGGTAGTTCAGTCTTACTTACAAAAATGAAACAAAAGCGTACACAGAGCCAGACGTCGCTGCTGTGAATGAAAGACTCTGAATGCTGTTGTTGTTGTTGTTGTTATTATTATTATTATTATTATTATTATTACTACTATTATTTATTTCAAATTGCACGCTAAAGATGAAGATTAAAAAACAAAAGCTATTAGTGTATTTGAATTGATAAATGATAGAAACACGTAATTAATACATTCTTTTTCCTATAGAAAAAAAATTGTTGAATAAAAATAGAAGTGATAATCGATTTAAACCTAGTCTATGTACGAATATAATAGTTCAAGTAAAAGTAAAGAAAATGAAATGAAGAATTTATATACTATTTAACTTATGCTTAAATTTTAATCTCGTTTTGGTTTACTAAAATGGTCACTGGATATCCTCAAATATTTCTTTTGCTCTACTTCAGGCTCAATTTCATCCATTTACAAATGAGTGTATGAGTGTATTAGAAGTATTTGTCTATAAAAGAAAGATCATTATGACTGATATAAACTGTTAAACTCTTCTTTTTTCTTCTTCTCGTTGATGCATTCTTTTTTCCCTCATGCAGTATTAATATTGTCTTTACCGATGGGAATTTCAAAAATCCACACCTAATTACTGTTTATCTCAAAAAAAAAATAATAATATTCACTTGGAATTTGGATCTTGATTATCGTCTGGCGGTTGATTAAGAAATTCATCAACAGTACGATCACCCAATTGAGGATTACTAAAATAAAAAAGAGATCAATAACATATAGGTTTAAAAACTGAAATGAACATAGTAATTTGAGAGAAAAACTAATTTTATTCGTTACATATCTTATCTTAAACTTAAAAAAAACGATCATAAATAGATAATGAAGCAATCAATCATTCATTGTCAGCGATGATCTCAGTCATAGATATACAGCATAACACGATAATCGGCTTACTTCCTCTATTCTAAATGAAATAAACTCATTTTTTTTTCGATCAGTACAGATTAACTTGACAATGCATGCAAATCATTATGCATTTTTTAATCGCATTTTTTTAGCAGCAAAAATAATTCAAAGCAACATTCCAAATGACAGTTTCTATTTTCGTTGTATTTTTTTTTTCAATCAATTTTTACATTATAAGCATATTTCAATGTAAATCAAATAACTGCATTACATGCAAATGTCAGATAATTTCAAAAACTATCTGACAACTATTAAAAGACAAAGAATGTATTTGAAACACTCAGTTTATCAACGTAGCTTATTATACCATAATCCCATTATCAATTAAAAAAAGAAAAAAATATCGAAGTAAAACTGCAAGCAATGGATTTGGATTTCTTATTTGTAAGATACAACAAAATAAAAGGTGTGATTAAAAGCTAGAATTGAATTACACTACATTTTTATGGATAGAAGAGCAGGTATATGCATACATAATTTCAAGTGATGATTCGTCTACATATATTTTGTTTATTTTTCTATTGAATATAGGTGTATTTCTTTTACGTCATACACACAAAAGTTTTCAATTTATCAGCATTTCATTCTAAAGATATTTTTAAAATCAATAGTTTATCATAACAACAAAAAAAAGCAACTAGATTGATAATCAAATGTAGCATAAAATATTTCAAAAGTCAAAACTAATGAAGTGTATAAACTTGCTGTAGACGAATCACTATGAAGGGAAGAAAAGGCAAAAATGGAATACGTGCATAGTGACGTTCGATATAGGGAGAGCAGAAAATAATGGATGTCAAGAAGAAGACATAAAAAAATATTTAAAACAGTTTTAAGACCGAAAAAGTATATACCCTTCATCGCTATCGTCGCTTCCACTGAAAGTAATAAAGCATACAAGACAATCATTTATGTAGATAATTGGAATTCAAATGTAGCAAAGGGCAATCTCACAAAAAAACAAAAATTATGTTGTTTTTTTCAATATTTTTATACAAAGAGCAGAATTTTCGTTTTTAAAATCTTACTTCAATTGTAATACACTGGAAAGTATGACAAGAGGAAGTGAGATTTTGAGTTTATAACTTTATCTACCTGGTAGAACGATTCTTTGATTGAACAGGACGTTCATGTGGTCGAAGTCTTTCACTATAACATCGACCAAGATTTCTGAAATATAAATTAAGTACAGATAAAATAATTTTTTTCAACATAAATATGGTAAAGACGTACGTAGCATTTTTGTAATCCTGAGATGCTTTGTCAGGCAACATTAAACCACCAATAGTTGCATCTAAAAGAAAAGATAAAACATGTCAATTATATATCCTTTTACTATTGAAAATCCAAATCCAACAAACCTGAATTATCGTATAAAGGCTCGTAAACATCATTCGCTAAAATAATACAATTGATTATTTTATTTAGAAATCAAACAAACAAATAAAAAGAGGCATACCTAAGCTACCTTCTCGTCGTTCATGAATACTATCAGCATGCGAAGGACCTAAATATTGACAATTAATAATTAAAGTTAAGAAATGAACTCAAATTTCAATAGTCAAATTAAACAGATTAAAACAAACAGATAGACGATACAAAAACAAAAATACATTAGTTTGAAGACAAACAACAATAATGGTTTGTTTTTAGTCAATACAAAAGCATTAAATTGCAGACAAAATACACAAGATTGACGATATGAGAAAAAAAAACTACCGTTATTATAATTGTGGCCTAGTCCAAATAGAGTACTACCAACAGGTCTGCTATTTTGATTTAAATATGCTGTATTTACTTGTTGATGGTAAGATGGCATATTTAATAGCTGAGGCATTAAATTGTCAGCAGAAAATGATTCTTAATACATGCGAAATTTTTTTTTGTCAATTTTCTCTAACTAAAATGAAAATTTAATCCAATACGTACTTGGTGGATTTCGATTTGGTGGCTTTTTTAATTTTGTTGATAAAGCATTTTTACGATCTTTAGAACATTTTTCAGCACTAACTGTACATTCACGATGAAATGCCTGTTGACAATCTAATATGTACAAATATATATATAGACATAGATCTTTTTGTTTTACTTTGTTTTGTCTTCAAAATTGAACTTACATTGACAACAATAACCTTGATAATTAATACCCCATAATGGTCTGTTACATAATTGACATAATGTCGCCGATGTAAATTGATGTTCATAAAACAAATGATCTTTGATCTATATAAAAGCAATGAAAAATAATTCTCATAGAGACAATGTATACAATGTCTTTATAAAATAAATGGGAAATTTTGTTATAATCTCAGTAAAAATAAATAAACAGAGGCAATATTTCTATAATTTGACATATTCAATTCAATTATTTCTAAAAATCTTTTCATATAATTAACTGTAGTGTAAATATATCAAAAAACAAATTCATACTTTTTTAACTGGATTTGGTCGTTGTAATTTTGCCATAAAACGTCTCTGTTCTTTATCAAAAAATTTGGGAATCTTGTCTAATGGAATGTTGCCACATTTTTTTATATCACATCGTTTCAAATATGTAGCTAATGAACATATAAGTGCCAAACTAAATGGGAAAAAAAATGATTAGTATTAGATGATGAAACAATTACATTTTTCAAAATATGTCTAAAAAAAACAAAAACATACTCTCGTCCATTTTTAATACCATTCCAGTCATCAATATTTGGTTTATAAATACTTTCAATATGTGGTTTTAAAACTTCTTCGATAAAATGTTGTTGTTTTGAACGATCATGAATCGTCGCCAAATCACCATACAAATTTACAAAACCTAAAATAGACACACACACACACATGTTAGTTAGATATAAATCAAACACACCATCAGTATCTTCTCAAGAATAGGGTTCGTTAGCCGGCAAAATTTTTGTTCATCTTAAACTTTCTGTAAAATGCATATCTTCTCACTTAAAAGAGTAGAGACTATACTGTGCAATTTTGTCTTGTCATACAGACATGATAAATTTTTTTCTTAGTAAACCACTTTTTTTTTTTGTTTTTAGTATTTAGGAAAAAAACGTCCATTGTTGAAAATATCAAGTTTACAAAACAAATACAAATTAATTCAAAAATATAACAAAAATACACGTGACTACTTTTTTTGATGAGCTTTTAAAAGATAGATGATTGTGTCGTTTTGTTATATTTTCTAAACGAGAAAAACGTATCGAAATCTGAAACATTCCTGACTGTGTAGCATACTTTACTTTTCAATTAAAGATTCTAGTTACAGAGTTGTTAGCGTCTTACTGTTCGAAAATTATCAGAAAAACAAATATAAAAGAAAACATATTGGACTTTTTATTGGGGTATCCGAATTACATGATTACGCCTAAATATTTGTGTTATTAATTATTATGCGTAAATTCTGTACAATTGAGAACGACACCGTTTGATCTTTAAGTCTGATATACATAGAATTCTTAAGTTTTTTATGACATTAATTATACACTGAAAATGGAAAATTGTGTCCCAAAAGAAGAAAAAAAAACATTCATTTACCCAGTGTTCGTTTATGATTAAATTCTGTTAATTGATTTTGTGTGATATAATTTTTTGCATATTCTTTTGCATCATTAAACAATGTTTTTGTATCTTCTTCACGAGATGTTTCAGAATTATCAAAATAACGATTTAGAGAATCGACTTGTTGTTGTGGAAGATTAATATACAATGGCTAAAAAACAGAAAAATAACATATAAATAGTGTATGTAACTTCAATCGTCTATTTTGACTAATTTTACTTACACTTCCATTCATCGTAAATGTGGAATGAATTTCAAATATCCAACGAATAAGTTCGTTCTTATCAGTTTTACGTAAACGCATCAGTTCTTCAATGAATATATAAAACAACTGAAATAAATGAAAATAATAAACATACGTAAAAAGAATTATAGACAAGTTTTTTTTGATATTTATTTACCAAATAACTTGGATCATTATTTGTTGTGGTTAAAAGAAAATTAAGAAAAACTGTTAACGGTGCCCAATTCGCTGATAATACTAATAAAGAAATATCATCGAACGATGATAAAGATGTTGAATAGGAATGTGTCAATAATTTGGGATCAAACTAGAACATAAATGAAAATAAGTTACAGTTGAAAATAAAAAATATATACCGAAACATACCGCATTATGATTATTTATATGTGGACTTTCATCTTCAGAATCGATTCCATCCTTTATAGAGTAAGAAAATATAATAAATATTCAAATAATAATATAGAATTAAAGATATTGAACTTACTCGACGAAAATTGAATTTTTCATCATTTGGAATTAATGAGCCATCCCAATACTAAATTAGTAAAAAAATAAAATATTAATTTATAGTCAAAAACAACATGTAAGCAACGAAAACAAACATAAAAGAAGAAGCAGTTTGATCACAGTAGGCATACGGTGAACATGTGCATATTTGATATATGCTCATTTGTTATATCATGTGAATAAGACAGTGAAGCGAAATTCAGAACAAAATGTTACAAACAGGATATCATGTGTTCTGGATGATAAAATGGAATTATCTTTTCTTTCTAAGAAAACTGAACATTTTTATTTAATGAAATAATAAATATAAGTTCAATTTTTAAATTATTCTTTGATTTAACTGTGTAAAACATCACAATGTAATTAGTGTTTTAATAAAGATTAAATTAAAAACTTATATTTTTTGAAACTAGTTTAATGTTTAATGAAACATCACTTGAGAATAGTTTTTGTTTTTTTAAACAATCTGTTCAATGGTAACGACAAGATCAACAAGGACAATGAGAAGAAGTACACACTTTTTCACTATTACAAATGTGTGTTACTGGATTTTATTTATTACCGTAAAGAAATTTATATACCACTGAAATGATAAAAGAATAAACAATAGAGAGACAGGAGTGAAAAAATTTTTTAATTAACATCATTCTTAATGGGATTTTAAGAAGATATAGGGAAAGATGTAAATTAACAACGATATCTATCTAAAAGTGTGGGAATGAGGAAAAAATTGTGTGGATTAAAGAGAACGAATCAAAGCAGAATATATATATTAATAAGCAAGAATAAAGTCATCAATTGCAATGCAAGCCCATAATCAGGCATCTGTATAGTGTATTTTCAGACGAAAAAAACATTGAATGTGTATGTGCTTAATTTGGCTGATCATAGAAAGGGAGAGAAAGAGAGAAGAAAGCATAGTGTTTAGTTCAAGTGCAATGGGACTCTTCCTTTCTTTTTTTTTTCTATTACCTTAACAAGATCATACATGTCATGTTTATTCCCATGCAATTTACGTTTTATCGTTTGAAATGGAGAATTAACGGGTTCTCTATTAGTAGTAACAACAGATGTGGTAGATCCAGTAGTATTATTACTAACAGTAGTCATAGCATTTAGCATAGTCGATTCAGGTAATGAATTTTGTTTCTTGTGACCAGGCTTAACAAAAATACACACACACGCACAAATAGAGATTGAATCAAAATTATTTACATTCTTAAATGATTGATAAAAATTAGAAGATAAGAAAGATATAACATAACGTTGTTGTTCTAGTTTGGCGTAGGATGAAAGAGTAGAATAGACGAAGAAAAAAGAAAAAAAAAAAGAAAATAATATACCGTTGATGTTCGTTTATTGTTTGTAACATTAATTACAGTATCACCATGTAAAATATTTTCATCACTAGCACTCGATTTAACAGACAATAATTCGTTTGGCTGCAAAAAAACCATATGAATTAGAGTAGCAAGTCATTCTGAAACATTTAAAGTTTAACAATTCTCTTCAAATTAATAGTATAGTCTACTTTAACTTTAATAATCAATACTATTATATTTTAATATAAACATTTCTTTAAACCTTCAATAGATTTTAGAATATTTATTTCTATCTTACCTCAACTAGATCTAATCGCCTTTTAAATTCATTTAATTGTATTTCATACTGTTTTATCTGTTGTTCTAATTGTTGAACTTTTGTTGAATTATTTTTTGCTTTTTGTCGTTCATATTCTTTTTTTAAACTCTAAACAAAAATAATATATGATTAAATTTGAAATATAATTAAAAAATTGATATATTTTACTTCAAATTGTTTAATTGATTGTTCATACTTTTCACGAATTTTTTTAATATCATTATTATTAATGGAATTTATATTTGCCGATGTTGTTGAATGTGAACTAGCAATACTATCTGAAACTGATGGATACGAACGAAATGAGCCATTTTGATTTGTTACTGGATATTTTTGGGGAGTTTTTGGAATTGGATGACCCAGTAAAGTTAATGAGGCATATGATCCAGCTAAAAGAGAAAAAACATAAAATTAATACAGAGAAAGAGAGACATATCTCGCTATACATATATATATATATACAGAGAGAGTTCGACTTCTAGACAAAAAATAAACACAATTAAGACTAAACGCATTTGTTTCTAAATAAAGCACTTTGTGATTATTTAATTAAAACTTTTAAATTCAAGAAAGATAAGCGATTGTTTTTTTCTCACTTTCATCACTATATACATACATTCAGTACACTTAACTGTCAAAAAAGTTTAGCTTACTCTTTTAATGATAACAAAAATGTTTTGCTTACTACTAAAAAATTTTTCATTTTTTATAATTTTATTCTATTAGGTTATTTTTGTTACTGAAATTAGATTGGATAATAATATGTTTTTACATTGAAATGATCTTTAAAAAAATGAATAGGGGCGTTAATTAAACAACTTCACTTTCTATTTTTCCATTTTTAATAAAAGATAAAAAATTAGAAACAAATCCACTCGTCTCTCTCTACTACAGAAAAACAACGAGAATAAAAAGAGAGTAACGTTTATTTATCGATATTAGTTAGTAAAAATTGTATCATTTTTCAATAAAACATTAAATTAAAATAGTTTTGAACTTTATATATTTCTTTTTCTTTTTCTAACAACAGAAATCTATCGTCATTCAAACAGAAGTCTAACTTGATTGTAATTCTAAAATTTTTGTTATACTCGTTTTTTCAAATAAACTAATCGAATTAAAGATTAGTTCAATATAACAATGCACATTTCTTTGATATTCTATTTTCTATAAAGAAAATATCGTTTGTAGCAAAGTTTTCTAAACATGTGATCTCATGTTTTTTACTCTTAATCAGTAGATCTTCACTTTGGCACATAAATGACATATTATTATTATTATGATGATTGTCATAGAGAGAAGAAGAAGAAAAAAAGAAGCGTTTTTTATCGTTATAATATACATAAGTTAAAATAATAAAACAAACGGCAGTCATCACATTCTAATGATAGATGTGTTAGAACGTAGGCGTTGACAACAAAAACTTGGTTGTATAGACGGCAAGTGCAAATTACTTATCATAGAGATATATGCTATGAGCAATAATCATATAGATGTTGAGAAACTATCTATGAATGACAATTCATTCAGTTTTAAAATTTAGAGTAATTTGAGAAAATAAAAGGAAAAAAACAGAATTTTTGTTTTTTTAATAGTAACGTCTATCAAAGTGATAAACAACTTCTTAACAATCATAAAATATCTACAACAACAACAAAATATATATATATATGTATATCAACGACTGCAAATTAATAATTTCTGTCTATATGTTGACATAAAACAGTGAAAAGATTGATTGATATCTGTAAAACAGTCTAAAGTATAAAAATTGATTGAACTCGTATCAACTGTTTGATTGAATTATTATTCTGTTAAATGTTGGCCATATGAGGTCAACATGTTTCTTCTGACGTAAATGATGTACTACATTAGCAGAGTATATTCTTCTAGATTCACGTCATCGTGTGTCATACAGTCCTTATTATCGGTTGACAATCTGAAAATTTATAAATGCTACCTTTTAAATTCTATTTCCATTTCTTTTTATATCGATTACACACAATATAAGTAACTTCTTGGAATAGCAGTAGGGAATAAATAAGTAAAAATTGAGTATAAAACTGCTACAAAATACATTTTAAATTCAAACTAAATTCACTTGTTATTTCGTTTATTTTCGAGCTTTCGGTATGTACTCATACCATCATCAGGAAAACATATGACAAGACGTCAAAATTTTTTCTTCTTGTCATATATTTTCCTGATGATGGATGGTATGAGTACATACCGAAAGCTCGAAAATAAACGAAATAACAAGTGAATTTAGTTTGAATTTAAAATGTATTTTGTAGCAGTTTTATACTCAATTTTTACTTACACAATATAACTTCGAATAACAATAATATTTCATAGTGAAATTATACGTATTCCTTCGATGAAACAAGAAAGTGAACTAACTAACTATCTACATGAAAGTTAAGAAAATATATAAACAATTAAATTTAAATTTAATCATCTCTACTATTTATTTGTGACGTGACTTTTATCAATGATAATAAGAGAGTCATGATATACTCAAATATAATGTGAAAAGAATTTTGAGATAGTTTAAATCAAATTGGATATTATTCGTGAAGGAATAAAAACGAAAAAGAAGTGATTTATGACACAATTTAGAATAGAATTAGATTGAAAAGAAAGGTAATATTAGATTTTTTTCTTTTTGCTTCTATCTGAATCTGTTTTTTCACGAATAATAATTAACTCCTATGCACACATATTATTGAACCTTTAGCCGACAGCTATTGTACTTCCAAAAAACAAACAAAATTTCTCGATTTTCTCGCTGAAGTAAAGTATTTCAACTTAGTTCGTATTTATACTCATTTATATCTTCAAAGTAAGATATACAAGACGTTGATTATGTCCAACAGACTAAAAAAAAGTTAAATTTCAATGAAAATGGTGCCAAATGATAATAGAAAACTTTTTAACTGCAAATCAAATGTAAATGATCTTGGAAAAAAAGAAAAGATCACTGTATCTTTCTCTTTATTTTTTCATTTTATTATTCTAGAAGACTTCAGGTCAAAATGATTATAGACTAAAGTCTTTATCTTTTTACAACTAAATTAATATGAATAAATTTAAAATATTCTACTCTTTCGATTTTTACAAATAGAATTTAATTTATGCAGAGTGAAAAAATAAATAACGAAATTTTTGTAAAAAGAATATATCTATTCTTGAAATTTTGTATAAAATTTTATTAATAATAGTAATAGTGACAATTGGTGTATAATATGTGACATTCTGTCATATTTTCGGATATGGTTCTATTGATTTTATGTACTATACAAATTAATGTCATTCTTTTCTTTTTTTTCTTTCTCTATTTTGTTTTGTTTTCTTTCTAATATGTCTCGGAATATGTATGTATTATTTTTCTTTGGAAATCAGCACTAACACCATCATATCGTTTGGTGTATATAGAGATAATGATTATTATTTTTCAACAATATCATAATAATAAATACATACGTAGACAAACATAAGAAGAAGACGAAGAAGAAGACAAAAAAAAGAAAGAAGAAGAGACTCCAGTGTAGATATAAATGTGTTTTTTTGAAAAAAAACACTTAGAAAAATTAATAGATAATTGAAGTATCAGCATGTTATTGAAAGCTAGTTTTTCTACAAACATAAGATGACACTATCCTTCATCTCATTACATTTAAAAAGACAGATATAACAGATATTTCGAGATAAATGAAATCAAAAACTCTTTTTCGAAATATGATCATTGTTTTTTTGTCTCAATTTAAAAATAACCATCTCTAATATGCACATATACATATATATGCAATTATTTACTTGTATAACTATGTGTATGTGACAAAACTGCCCTCCATAAAATAAAAAATAAAAACGAGTTCCTGCTACGCTCAGAAAAATAAGATTAATCTTCATGTCATACCGTTTATTACGGGAAAAAGCAAATTTTTATGCATAATCTTCATGATAAAATGTGCATATATACGAACAATTTCGATCTATTTCAAAAATGTTTTTAAACAATTCATTTAATTATCCTTTTTGTTTTCTTCATTCGTACATATTTATATCATTTAAACTCCATTCTAAAATAAGATAGAAGAGTTTTTCTATCTCTTTTTTGTGTAAATGACTTGAAATTATTATCTTTGACTGTTGAGATGATATTATTTTATTTGTCTTACACACACACACACAAAACGTTATTATTTCACTTTCAAACAAAGTGAATTTGATTTTACTAATGTTACTTTTGCAAAAAGAAAGTTAAATAGCTCTACATAGAGTCTTCTCTCCCTCATCATCGTCTTATTTTATATCTAAACATCGATATTAACGAAGATAAATTTACTATTGTTTGAACAAACGAAAGTATAGAATACGAAGGTGAAAAATTGAAAATGGAAATAAATTGTAACGAAAACGATGATAATTTATGATTGTACATATATTGACGAGTCAAATAGTTATGTAAAACTGAAAATAAGAATTTTTACACTAGTCTTAATTAAGCATATAATTTGATTATGTACAAAAAAATAGTTAGATATATGAGTGATATATGATTTTTGATAGTAATAAGAAAACAATCATTTCAAAAAAGATTAAAGTTTTAATACTCTTAAGTTGCTTTTTATTCGACTTATTTATCATACTTCTTTACTAGTCTAGCGAAGAAAAATTAGGGATTTACAGAACAGAATATTTTCAATAATTGGTCTAGTCACCAGATGGTAAATTAAAAATTTTCATTACTAGAAAATATCCACATGTGATAAAATTGATGACATATTTTCTTTTTTTGTATTTTGAGTATCTTAAATAAATTCTTCCTTACAGATTCGGTTTTCACTGTTCAATATCAATGGGTTAAAAAAAACAAAAATGAACTATATTTATTATCTTTGAAAATAATAATTATTAATGATAAACAGTTTTTTATTTCTATTTATCTTCGTATCTATCATATATTTCAATGTATCATTCTTTTTCTTCTTCTATCCACAAAACTATATCGTCCCACGTTTTATCTGACATTTATGAACATAACTAGCCTTACTCTGTTTAAACATATGATTATCAATAACAAAAGAAGGAAGAAACAACGAGAGAGAAGATTTTGCTTACCAGATTGATTTGACGGTACTACTATTGGTGGTAATGCAGCAGCTCCTGCAATTGCAATACGATGATGATCATCGTATGTTTCCGATTTTGGTCTCGGTTTAACTAATTTTCGATGTGATGTTTTAGATTTATCGGATGTTCCGGGACTAGGAGATGATGTATTCGTAGTACAATTTGTTGACGATGTTGTATGTAACGATGTTAAAGAACGATTTCGTTGACGATGACTACTACTAGCTAAATCAGATAGACGTTGAATAAACTGTTCATGTAACTGACTAACACGCCCCGATAAATTTGATAATTGTCGTTCAATAACGTTACGTGGAGTAGTGCGAAATGAACGACGACGTAATGTTGGTGGTGGTGGTGATGGACTCGTCTTTGATGGTGTACTCGTTTCATTATTCATTGGCGTACACATTCGAAATGAATACGGTCGTTTTTGATGTAATGGTTTCCTATCATGTGAAGTAAATGATGTTGATGTTTGAATACGTATAGATGGTGATATTGATGGGTTTAGATATGGTGTTGGAAGAGATGTGGCTGATTTAGGACTGGAAGGGGATGAAGGAAATGGAGAAGAATTACTGTTTTGATTCGATGATAATCGATCGGCAATCAATGATTTAATTTGAGCGTGTTTAGATGTGTGTGTAACAGCAATTGAATTTATTGAATAATCCTTGTCAACTGGTGGTTGTTCAATTACATATTGTTTTGATCGTGTCGTCGGTATTGGGATATTCGATGAAATTGTTATCAATTTAGGTGAAGGAGTTCGTTTAGAAGATGAAATAGATGAATTTCGTACAACTGAATAGATAACAGCTATATCCGAATTATTTGTTTGTTGATCTTCTTCTCCACCGCCAATCCATTTTGTAATTGGTACATAACTACTTGTTGGTTGTTGAATAGATAACGGTACTGCAGAACATATCAATTGTGCTGAAGATGGTGTTTTTCTTGATAATTGTCTTAATGCTACGGAACAGGGTTGTGTAGAGGTTTGTTGAGATTTTGTTGATTCTGCATAAGCATCAACGGTTCGATCAACACGAACCGTTCCCAATTTTCCAACTTGAAAAAGCATTGGACAATTAACAGCAGTAGCTGTAGCCATTATTATCTAACTTTTAGTATTGACAAAAATAATTAAAAATATCAAAAAGAAGGTGTGTAGACTACATTTGATCTAAAAATAGTGTATGTACTTGAAAACGAAAAATGTATAGTATTGTATACAATGTATATATATAACATAAAATCATTCCTTCTTTTCTTTCATTATATTTAGCTCTCTTACATACACGCATAAACATACAATGATGTGTTATTACCTGTACATTGAACAGAAGAAAACGAGAGAGAAATTACTATTGTTTTTCTTCTGTTTCCTCAAAAAGAAGAAAGAAAAAACGAAATTAATCAAAATATTTGATAGAAAGAAAGAAGCTCAATAATCTAATAGGCTAGATAGAAATATAACAAATGATGAAAGTAGTGTATACATCATTTTTTATGTCATATTGAACAAGTAATGAAGGATAGAACGGTTGAAAAAATACTTTGAATTCATCTCAATCAAATTAATCTTTAAAAATGTTTTTATATTTTCTTTAAAAACAAAAATCGACTATATTTTTATTATATTAACTAATAATAAATTAGATATTTAAGGATAATAAGTCAAATAGAAACAACTACTGACAAACAGCAATATGAGAAAAAAAGAAAATATTATCTATAATATGTATAAATTAATTGTATAAATCAATTTGTAAATTACACGTGTTTCCAATTTTTTTATTTCTTCTTCTTTTTACCATAGCTTGTTCTTATGTTCATTAATAGATATATAATAAGATTTGTTAATGATACAATAAAAAGAGAAAACAATTTTTCTAAAGAGAATACGAGAGCAATATGATACAATCACTGTAATGAATGAATGAATAAGATCAGCTCATTATACTCAATTTTATAATGTGAAGAAACAGACGAAGAGAGCACCAATAATGATGAAAAGAGAATCATCATGACACCGGGAGCTCTCTTGATTTTATATACATATCGAAAAAACGAATATCTTTGAATTAAGTTATTCTAATAAGTTATACTATAGTATCTACTAGAAAGAAGAAGAAAAAAACTATAGATTTGTCCATATACTCAACAAAAAAAAAAAAAAAAAAAAAAAAAAAAAAAAAAATTTTTTTTTTTTTTATAAAAAAAAAAAAAAAAAAAAAAAAAAAAAAAAAAAAAAAAAAAAAAAAATATATTATATAAAAATTATATA